AGCAAGTAAAATGAAGGGTTAATCTCTGTTTACTACTCTCATATTTCGTGGTTTTCAACATTTAGTACATCAACTTTTTTTCGTCCCAGAGTCATACCTAAAGTGTAAATTTTGAGACAGTCTCATACATTCGTTAGTCAAACCGTTAACTCTCCAGTTAACTAATGACGTGGCGCTCATTTAGACAATGACTGGACGCCACATGTCATTAAAGGTCCACGTGGAAATTAAAAAAAAAAATTATAAATATATAAAAAAATAAAAATAAAAAAAACCTAAAAGCTTCCCCATATTCTACCTCCCCCCCTGGCGCACCCTCTCCCTTCCTCATCCCCCCCCCACCCTTTCCCTCCCTTCTCTATTATGCAACCCACACCCTTTCCCTTCCTTCTCTCCTCCGTCCTCTTTTACAATCCGTCTGCCAAGTCTCCCCCCCCCCCCCCGGCCGTTGTGACCTCAGTTCCCCTTCTTCTCAGGTAATTGTTATCTGGGTTTTCTTTTCTTTCCCCAATTCTAGAAGTGGTCCTATTTGTTCCTGATCAAATATTTGAAATTCTCAACTGGGTTTGGTTTTCGATCTCTGATCTTTTTTTTTTCCTTCTTCTTCTTCTTCTTCTTCTTCTTCTTATTGGTTGGGGATGGAACTGGTGTTGGGTTGGGGGGACGGGGGAAATGACGAACTGGGTTTCGTTTTTTTGTTTTTGTTTTTTTTTCCCTTCTTCTTCTACTTCTTCTGGGTGGGGGGAGGGGGGAGAACGAACTAGGTTTATGTTTTTTTTTTTGCCTTCTTCTTCTTCTTCTTCTGGGTTGGGTGGTTTTTTTTTTCCTTATTCTTCTTCTGGGTTGGGTGTGGGACTGGGTTTTTTTTTTTGTTTTTTTGTTTTTTTCTTCTTCTTCTGGGTTGGGTGCAGGACTGGGTTTTTTATTTTGTTTTTGTTTTTTTTATCTTCTGGGTTAGGTGTGGGACTGGGTGTTTTTTTTTTTCCCTTTTTCTTCTAGGTTGGGGGGGGAGAAGGGATGTGGTTTTTTTTTTTAATTTTTATTTAATTAATTTTTTTAATATTTTTTTAATGACACGTGGCACTCAGTCATTGTCCAAATCAGTTAACTGGAGAGTTAACAGTTTGACTAACAGATGTATGAGAGGAGGGAAGGACGAACTGGGTTTGTGTTTTTTTTTTTTTTTTTTTTCCTTCTTCTGGATTGGGTGCGGAACTAGGTTTTTTATTTTGTTTTTGTTTTTTCCTTCTTCTGGGTTGGGTACAGGACTGGGTTTTTTTTTTTTCCTTCTTCTGGGTTGGGGGCGGGACTGGGTTTTCTTTTTCTTCTGGGTTGGGGGCCGAAGGAGAAGGGATGGCTTTTTTTTTACTTTATATAATTAATTATTTAATAACACATGACGCCCAATCATTGTCTAAATCAATTAACTGGAGAGTTAACGGTTTGACTAACGGATGTATGAGATTGTCCTAAAATTAACACTTTAGGTATGACTCTGGAACTAAAAAAACTTGATGTACTAAACGTTGAAAACCACGAAACATGAGAGTAATAAACAGAGATTAACCCTAAAATGAAATAGACCAAAAGATACTTCGTTGCAGACCACAATAGCATAGTAGATAACAAAACAAAACTTCAAGAGTCGCAAAACTCTTTCCGAATTAATTGAAAATAAATCTTTTGAAGAAACTTAAGTCAAAAGCTACATAGTTTCGAAACAGAAAGCAACAGCGCCTATTTCGGAGTAACATAATCCAACCGAGGCACGGCGACCACCGTGACAAGCAGTTCTGACCAGATAACAGGGGCAAGCTTACAGCCTCCTTCCTCTCCTGCCACCCTTTCTACGGGTGCTATCGGTAGGTATTGGAGTCACATCCTCTGAAACGATATAAAACGAATGGTCAGCGTTCCGTACTCAGATAGACAGTTGCAGGAAGAAAATCAAAAACTGTATATAAGCAATGCTGCTTAACTTTTACAGAATAATCTTAGAAACTTGTACCACGACAGACAACTTGCAAATTCAATTGCAAATACAGATTGGCCGATTATGAGAACATGAACAGCAGAGACAAAACTCGCATTTTTGGACAATATGACAACATTCTTTAAGAAATTAAGGGCTTACCTATACGACCAATTCTCATTCCAGAACGAGCAAGAGCACGGAGGGCAGACTGAGCACCTGGACCAGGTGTTTTAGTTTTATTGCCGCCAGTAGCACGAAGCTTAATATGAAGTGCAGTAATGCCCAATTCCTGCATTCGTCAAAGTTAAGCGCATTAAATGGTAGCAGAAGAAAAAAAATCATAAAACAAGGAGCTGTGACAATGGGAACGATCCAACAAAATGGCCCAGATGACCTTTGACAAGAAATACAATCACTTCAAGAATACAAAGAATAATAGACAAAGTGTACTGAAAATAGATCAAGACCTTGCATCTCTGTGCAACATCTTGTGCTGCAAGCATAGCAGCATATGGGGAAGACTCATCCCTGTCAGCCTTAACCTTCATACCACCTGCATTGAAAGATATGAATACTTTATGAAACACAACAGATCACTATTCATAACAAAACATCTCAATAAACAGGTGGCTAAATTCATCTCGCTTCAATTACGATTATTCTAAAAGATTATCTACAACACATTCTTTGAAATAAAACTTGTAAATATACCAAAGTGTTCACTAAACGAAACCACCACATGATGCCATGGTGTCTGAAATAGAAAAGTCTATCTAGCTGATCTTAATCCTAGAAGAGAGAATTTCCTTACCAGTGATACGCACAAGGGTTTCCCTTCCTGACAGATCAGTTACGTGCTGAAACATAAACAAGGAATCATCATTAGAACCAGAAACATAGACAGAATGAATTAATTATGCATAACACGCCTAGAAACGGATAAATTTACTTACAATGAATGTGTCATTGAATGACGCATAAATGTGTGCAACGCCAAAGGCATGTTCTCCATCCTTGAGAATGGGACCAAGGGTAACATTGTCTTCCTTAGGCTCCCTAACCTTCTTCTTCGACTGTAGAACACATCAAAACAAGAAAATGTCAAAACAGGAAGAGCTAGCGCCAACAAAAATACACTACAAACATGTAACCCACAAACAAAAATGACTAAATATTCAATGCAGAGCAAATCATTAGATTTAGACCCACTCATCGAATTGAAGTCCTGTCTTTAGCGCAAATTTCATCCGACTGAAAAACAAACATTTGAACCATCCACTCCAAAAAACAATATTTTCAAAACTGAAACATAAAACAATCAAAGCAGAATCGACAAGTTTTGATGTTGATACATTACTTTCATTCCTATCAACAAAAAATGAACTTCTCACGTCAGACCTTGATTAGTATATACATACAACTAACAGATACAATCCCAAATCAAACCAAGCTCACAAATTGACTACAACCTAATTAAAACACCTCATTATCGGCATTATAACCCACCAATTAAACATTTAAATTGGGTATGTTAACCTTGCATCTAACTTAATCACAAAGGGTTTCGTTACGACGAAGACAGTAACAAGTTTATCAAATTCAGAACAAGAACCGAAAAAAAACAGATAACCATTTTCCATTTGCACCAATTGTTAAGCATTCGGAAATCGAAACGCAAATAAAAAACCCAATCTGCACAAAACGAAGATCTAGGGTTCTTGATCTGAAGCATAGCTACAGAAAAATGGAAGACTGGGGATTTATACACAGCACCAAAGCTCACAGATTGAATTCTGAACAGAGGCAGATGAAATCGGAGACGAAATACTTGAGAGAGAGAGAGATTGGGTTTGAGATTTGCTTACCATGGCTGCGAAACGGGGAGAATTGGGGGGGTAGGGTTTGGAGGAGTCTGCTGGTTGCTTTGGCCGACTGGAAAAACCCTAAGCAGTGAGAAGGATGAGGGCTTGTGTGGGCGCTTTCATTTTATACCCGAGAACAAACTAGGGTTCTGTGTGACGCGAGTAAAGACTTTGGAATTTGCGGAAATATCCCTTGATTTATTGAATATTGTGATTTACGCACCTTTATTTTTGGATTTTACTTTTCCTAATGGCTCGCTACCCCTATAATTTGGGGTCTAATATTGTCACCATGGCGGAAGCACTAAAGATTTATTGGGGATGCTCTGGTTTTGACACTGATGCGGTCTTAAGAAAGTGTCTATTCACCGTACATTGTGTGACAATAAATTATTTTAAATACCCTTATTTAAAATTAAATATGAATAGTACCTGACGAAAACTGGTTGCAAGATGTACGATGAATGAACACGATTTGGATGCAGTCTTAAGAAAGTGTGCACTGCCTTCGAGAATTAGAACCATTGAGGATCCTCAAATTGAGTTCGTTCATTGTACATTGTATGGCCAGAAATCATTTTAAATACATTTATTTAAAATTAAATATGAATAGAACCTGACAAAAACTGGTCGCACAATGTACGATGAACGGACACAATTTGAGGATTCCCAGGATCCTCACAAACAAGATCCGTAGAGGATCCTCCTCAAGCAAGGAATCAATAATACGTATGTTTGGGATGGATTTGTTCCTTCTCAAGCTAGGAACATCCTTTTATTTGACACTAGAGGTCTTGGGTGTTCTCGGGGCTTTTCTTTAATATAATTTCTTTTCTTGCTAAAAAAAAAAACTAGCTAGATAATATCGTTTGTTAAAAAAAAACACACACACTAGTAGATACGTGCTAACCACTCGTTTGATCCTCCAACAATTTTTATGATTTGAAACTTACATGTTCAGGTCCTCATTCACAAATCATCTTTTAAAAAATTCGACTAAATCGAATAGTGTTATAAGTTCTTTTTGGCACAACCAGAAAATTGACATATAGTGTTGTACAAAACAACCAAAAATGCTCAATGCACTAGCAAATGCATAAACGATTTCAGCTTTTAGTAAAATTTGTACGATAATACATGACTTACAAAATAAACGATTCAAATCAAAATGTTCAATGTCCACATTTGTATTCCGTAACTTGCGATAAAGTTGAAAGTCCAAAACAGGAGAGTCCAACTTAAGTGGGCTATATAGATAAGCACGGCCCATTTTATACTCTCACTTTCGTTAGCAAAGTTTGGCATACAAATACAAGTTTGAATTGTACATATGAACTCTATTTTCTCAGCAACCTCAACAATTACAGAATAAACATTAGAAACAAACATATAAACGATAATTTTAGGAAATCCTAGCTACAAAGAATGGTAACAACGTTCAAATGCTATGCAGAAACGAGGCCGAGATAACCAGCACACAACGCCAGTGTGGACGATATAACGTAAGCACCAGCAACAATGACTGGTTCTTTTAATCCACATAGTTCAAGGTGGTGATGGAAGGGTGCCATTCGGAAGAGACGGCGCCCAGCTCCGTGTAAACGCTTGGTTGTCTTGAAGTATAATACCTAAAAGTACATCAACTATCAGTTCACAGTGAAACTGAAACCAACTATGAAAGTGAAACGTGTCTATTTGCTCGAAACAAAATCAGAGACACGCTATATGTTGAATGTCATGGGTAGCAAACCTGCAAAATAACTGATGAGGCTTCCATGACAAAGACTCCAGATGAAATAAATAAGGGGAAGAACATCCCCGTGCAACAAGCCATTGCAGCTAACCCTCCACCGAGTGCCAGGGATCCGGTATCACCCATGAATACAGATGCCTTGTATCGGTTGTGCAAAAGAAAACCGACACAAGCTCCTGCCATTGATGCTCCAAATATAGCAAGGTCTGTTTCATATGAAAATAAATAATTAGTACCAAAAAAGTATGCAGAAGAGACATGTTTTTCTTTATCATTGACAACCCCAAGTTAAAAATCCAACTCCTTGGTGGGATTGTGCTACTGGAGGTGCAACATGCCTTTAGATTCTTTATGTGAAGTGTGAACTCAAAAGCAGCATAATTCTATTGCGTGCAGCATAAAAAGGACATAACAATGACAACTACACTGACCAGAACAAATTGGAAGCACTGCGATCGACATTCCTGCAAAAGCCAATGCAGCAGACCCTCCAGCCAGACCATCAAGACCATCTGTTAAGTTAACCCCATTTCCCATAGAAACGAAACAGAATGAAGCCAACATTAAATAACATTTTCCCAGGAACACAAGCCCTAGTGCAGGTAAAGGAACCAACAGTTTCCTGCATTCAGAAATTAAAGATCAACTTGAGTAGAAGCACCATGAGTAAAGCATTTATTACATAGAAGCAGCCAAGCAGCCAAGCAGCCAATCCAAAAACAAAATGTCCCACTATCAGCAAGTTAAATTTAGTGTGTATGCTATCAATCTCGGTTTCAACTTTTACAGTTAAGATTATCATACAGTACCTGTTGAACATATTCCAGCAATCTAAAATGGATAATTATGGAAGAGAAGAGGTACCGATGGGTCTTCAGGAAAATCTTTATTCAGAATTAGCTACAAATATACGACCCATTGAGAACAGGAAGTTTTAACAGTACAACAAAAACAACCAAAAAAGAAAGAAAATTGCAAGAGACCCTTTTTGTGGTAGACTGATAAATAAGAACCAAACACAAGTTTGATATTTTCTTCTAAACTCAACATTGTAAGAACAGAAATGTGAGTTACCATCAGAAAAATAGTTAGAAGAAGATATACATGCCATAGGGTGATGATATATTTGCAGTATGCAACCAATACGAAAACCAGGTCCCAACAGCTACCTGCAAAATAAGCATAACTTAAATATTGCTAAAAAGATTAATAGAACTTAAAAATCAACTCTTAGATTAACCAGAAATCCACACATAAAGTTTGCGAAAGGAACATTCAATAGTCAATTCACCTCCAAAATAATTTTTGTCCATGCAGATAAACCAGTGTTATGTCTCTTGACGAGGCTTAAGATATCATCAAGCAGACCAATTGCAGCAAACGCAAGAGTTGCTGCAGCTGCTCCAGAAACTTCAACAGAAGAAAACCCGGCAATAAATTTTGCAACAATTACACCAATTGGTATAAAAAATAATCCACCCATCGTGGGAGTTCTTTTCTTTAAGGAGTGCCTAGCAGGCCCTTCTTTTCTGATAATTTGACGAATCTTCAAAACATAGAGTAGGGGAACACAAACATATCCTGCGCATGAAGCTAAAACGGCTGATACAAAAAAAGGGCAGGTCAAGTGAAATGGGGCCAAAGGTAGTCTAACAATCCTCCATGCACACGAATCCACATATAAAAGTAACACCACTAAGAACAGTATCAGTCCCATATTGAGTAATACTCCATGTCTAACCCTGCAAATGTAGAGTGTAAAGGACAATCAGACTAAGAAAGACGCACATATATCACTAGTTTAAGCACGTGAATAGGTTCCCGTCAAATAACAGATAATGACTTCTCATTGTAGTGGAAATTTTGGACCAGTCTCTAAATGTCCAATGAATTCTAAACTTTTGAATAACTAGTAGAAAAAAGCCACATAGTGTCTCGCAACACACTCAAAAACCTTGTGTAAATTGCAAACACCATTTTCTCAACAACTTTAAAATACCATGGCTTTCATTCTATATGTTTGTTTTTTGTAAAATTTTATATATCACTTGTCAAAATCTATCAAAACACATGGTGATCATAAAAAACTGAAGTTTGAGTTTTTCTCGAGCAACATTGATATACCGTAGGGTGCAGTCAATATGTTAGAATCTGTACTTCTTCAAGTCTATGAACAGTGAGTAATTAATCAGATGGCATACTTGCCTGTGTTTCCTACGCTGCCTTCCAAGCATTGCAAGCCGATGAGCAGTGACAGTCATAGCATCATCAGTTGATACAGTGATGGCAGGCAAATCAATATCAGCTACGGGAGTTACTACGAACTCTCCATCACTATCTTCACCGCTGGAATACATTATGTACCCTGTAGAGTCTTCATGGCCGCCCCCCCAATCATCAAGTGGTGCTATATCAGCTGCTTCCTAAAGGGAAACAAAAAATGCTTTTCATATGCATAAGCAATTGATAACATTTCACCTTTACAACAAAAAGAAAAAACACTTCAAACCCAATATTTAAGAAAAGCTCCCTGCCCACTTTGCAATGAGAGGAGGGCACCAAAAGAGATTTCGAACTAAGAATGAATTAGAACATGACATGTATGTAGATGCGCGATTATTTCTCTCAAATTGAGTTCTTTTAAGTGTTTTCATATAGTTGTCCGGATGTTTTTCCTAATTTCCTAAAACAGTAAAGCGAGGAGCTAATGTGTATGCGGAAAATCGGCATTTTTTGTATTCGAATAGTCAAAGTATGTTTCGATTAGAACAGAGAATTTATTCAACGAGCATCCGAAAAGCACGAAACACTGATAGTTGATTCCAAAACAAATGTAAACTATAACTTCAAATATTGACCAAAAAAAAAACTATAACTTCAAATTGTTATCAACACCGAAATCTAGTCAAAATACAAATACCAAACAGATAAACAACCATCATTTTGAACAAGAGCTATGAGGCTTACCGAATCAAAAGACCCGAAATCAACAGAATTGTATCGGAATTGGCGCCCATTTCTCCGCCGAATCAACTGAAATTGATGATATATCAAATCAGCACACATCAGAACAAGCATTTCACAGAAGAAAGAAAAGAGTCTACGAGTGGCTTTCGAATTCCATCACAGATGACTTTCTCGGCAACCAAACGGAAATTACGAAACGAATCGGCGATACCAGAAAACAAACCTGAAGATCGTATCGGACACCGGAGCTCCCGAACGAAAAGGCCGAAACGGATCGGCGGAGAATGGCGGTGCAGAGCGAGGGGGAGCAGTGGCGGGAGCGAGAGAGTTGGAGAGGAGAGAGGTGCCGGAGGAGAGTGAGAGAACAAGATGATGATGACGTCATGTCTCAGCGGAAGAAGAAGGAGATGAAGATTCAGATCTCGGAGAGGATGGTGAGTCCATTAAAAACTGGAGAGGACGAAGAGAATTGGATATTCGAGTTTTGAAGCTTTTTATACCGCAAAAAAATTAAAAAAATAAGAAAGGACGGCCGGAGGGAATGCGAAAGAGGAAACTTTGAAATTCTCGCCCCGGATCGAGTTTCTGCGCGTGAGAGAGAGACGGCCTTTCCACACATGGACTATGGATTGGTTTGGTGGGGTCAATACACAGATGATGCATCACATATTATTATACAAATAGTGAGATATGTGTATTAAAAAGTTAATAACTTAAAAAATAAAATTTCCCAAATAAATAGTGTACCCTTCGTGTTCCGATCACAATAAAAATTTTCTCCTGAAAGAGGATCTGCTGATTTGGGAATGTTTTTTATATTTCGGATCAGGATCCTCTCCTGAGCTAAGGGTGAGGATCCTCCTGACCAAGTCTATCGGGTCATTGGAATTTTATCCAACAGCTACAAACAGGAAATCCCTCTAAAAATTATAATAATTGTAACCATTGAATAAAATTTTAACAGTCCGATGAACTTGGTCAAGAGAATCCTCACCCTTAGGCTTAGCTCAGGAGAGGAGAGGATCCTGATCCTTTTATTTCAGGTGCTTTTTGTCGTGAAGAAATGAAAATCGAACACGTTTGCTACTCGTTGGTTGACAACCCCAAAGCTTACTAGTGTTAGGTTTTACCTAATTTACCCGTTGACCAACTAAATATTTCGATCGAATATGACATGCTAAATAATTTTTTGATATAACAAACGTTGATTAAGTTAGTTGATTAAACAATTTATCCGTCTTACGTTCGAGTTTAAATCCGTCTCTTCAAATAGGAAATCATCTGTTTTTAATTCTTGGATTGATCCAAGAAAATATTGTACAATGTACAACGTCGTATCATGGTTTAAAAAATAAGTAACAAGAGACTCGTCTATCAAACTGCATTCCGCACCTGGGCTATAACACCCAACAGAAATTCGGATAACGGTTGATAGATGAATATTCACATAAGTCCGCCGGCATGAGTAGACGCATCACCGATCTACCAGATCTCAGTCCAATACATACGCAAACGTTCTGAAACACAAAATCACTATAGGTCTGGTGATCAACCCAGTCGCTAACTCTGGGCTGTGCTCAGAGTCCGCCCTCGCCCCAATGTGAATCCCCTGGTTCCGTCAGGCATCCTTGGGCCGGGTGGTGGCTTCCAAGGTTCAATGCCGTGATTGGCCGTAGTAGTTCCATGACCTGGGGAAACATTTTGGTTATATTAAGGGCTGGTTTGATATTGCAGTATTTTGAAGAAAAAAAAGCTGCTTTTGCTGTACTGTGAAATAAAGCAGCAGAGTGTTTGGTAAACTTTTTTGTAAAAATGCTTTTGAAAAAAAAAAAACAATATTATAATGTTTTGTAAACTTTTATGTACACAGATGTGAAAACAAGCCGGTTTTTCAAAGCTGGGTTTTGTAGCTTCATGTTTTTAGCTTTTTTTTCACCCAAAACTGTGAAAAAAAACTGAAGCTGAATGTTTACCAAACACAAAAAAGCTCCCAGCTTTTTTTTATAACAGTTTTTTTCAGAATCACCTTAACACCAAACTAGGCTAAGTGAATAGAGTCTATGAAGGAAAGGAATCTATTCAAAATATTAGTTCATCAACGTACCAAATCCATTGGTCCCACGGTATTTTTGCCTTCCTGACTGCCCCCTATTTCGACCTCTATGCCCAGTTTTCTCCTTGGGAACTCGCTCTCCATCCTAGAATGGCAGAAGCAAAAAGGTCAAAACTTAAAAACCAGTCGAGTGTAATGAAACACTTGTATGGAACTGGATCCATCAAGGACTCCAACAAAAATAACACCAATTGCTCATGAGCATAACCACCGCTTACCTCTTCATCAATTGTCCGTGCATCATTATGTTTCACACTTACAGTATGGTACTCCTCGTCTCCTGTTTGATCATTACTTCTGTTGCCGCTACTCTTCTCAGATTCGAAACCCTTCCAGGGTTGTTTTCTCTGTCCATACTTCCCCTGATGTGAATAATACCAACATTAACTCTTCTTGTAGCCAAAAGTGAAGATAGAAAAAAGAAAAAGGAAAAAAGACAGAATCAAATACCACTTGTTTTAGAAGCTTCACCCGCATGCCATTTCTCCAATCCTCCTCATTATTTAAAGTAGTGACCTGACACAAATTACCAGGAAAAAACTGTAAGCCAAGGATTGATTATCCGAGCTATAGAGAGCCCTATGAAAAATGATGTTGATGTTGATGTTGATGATTATACCGTTGGAAAGAACAAACACTTACAGCTTTGTCAGCAGCCTCCACGGTATCATACTTCACAAGGGCATGCAACTGCGACAAAAAACAAGACACATTACAAAAGGCTGCCGGATTATCTCAAAATTGTCTTCAGAAGGACCACAGCGTTTGCCTCAGACCACAAAGAACAGAAGACTTTCACCAACCACAAAAATCCCGATCATGGAAAGTGTATCTCAGTAACCGATCCCTCTAAATCACCAGATTCGGATAATTAGCATGTACAATCATGCACATAAAATTTAGAAACCATACCTTATTACTAATCAGCTTCTTAGCCTTGCCGCCTTTTGTAGACACTTCTATTGCATGTGGGTTGAGTATGTACAAATCTTTTATTCTGGAAAATTGAAAGCCATGCTATAATCAAAATTGTAGAGAACAGTAATGTCACATCATGGGAAAAAAAAGAAGAAGGAAAAGAACATACTTTCCAGCTTCACCAAGTATACTCTTAAGGTTCTCCACTGAATGATCCTCAGGTAGGTTCTCTACCAAGACAGTGCACTATAATGCAGAAATTAGATGCTTGAAGTTTTCCAAAAATAATACATAAAAATTAAGAACAAAAAAAAAAAAATCAAGTTCGAAAGGATACCTTTGGATCTTTGTTTTCAGTTAATGGAAGGGGATGAATCCGTTTCACCTTCTTCCCATTCGAACTCACAACCTACAAGAAGGAGATTTATGCCTATCTTTTAGCATATTCGTGATTCAACTTGCACTTAATTTTTTTAAAGAGAACAAAATAAGAACATTACAAGGAGGGAAGACTCCCTCAATGCAGCTGCTATTGACGAATTGTTTTGGATGAGCTTTTTCATTTTTCTAAAAGAAGCAATAACTGAAATTGGAACTGCAAAAAGATATGCCAATAGTTATTGAAAACTGTTAACATAACAGGGTGAAGAAAAGGAGACTACTTAATAATTTTTCAATTTGTTACAACTTACAACTAAGATTTTTTACCACCACAGAAGAAGCAATTTGATGTATAAAAAAATTTCAGTGCCACACGGATTTGCAGCTAGTGGTTAATATACTCACATACACAAGCAGAGGAAGGAGATAACGAAGTCGAAAAAATAATAGGGCAGTTCTCATATTCCTGCCACTAGAAAAGCAATCACCCCCTTTCTCAGAAGTGATAAATCACCAAATTAGAAACAAGAATAACCAAGAGAATGAAAAAAATGTTTCTAATTCTGAAAACTGCTTTAGCAATAGAATTTAATGAATAGAGAAGGAATCAGTCAGCAATCAGTTGCATCGTCATTCAACGCCAACCCCAGATGCTCGGCACAACCAAATTTGGCTGCACCAGGAAAACACCCAGGCAAGGCAAGCTGTCAGAAGTACCTGCTTTGTTCATCACCTTCGTCTTCTCTACTCTACTAATGCCAGATTTTATTAACACAAACATAATTAACACTATAAACTTTCAGCACCCATAAAGCATGTAGAAAATGACAAATAAAACACCTTGGAATATATTGGTTTAGATCCACATCCAGCCACATGAACTGGAGGTAAGTCCAAATGGAGGAATCTGCATGAGATTAATTCTACTTTGGATGATTGAGGAAGAGTTTCTTCACAGACCTTTATCTTATTTTATTTAAGGAGTAGTTAGTCTAATAAAACACTTGGAAAAAAAGTAAGCCCGCGCAAAGTTTTATTAGCCCATTACGTGGGTCAAGTGATTAAACCAGCGGGTGGGCAAAGTTCATAGACAGCTATAGCATGATACAATAAGATTTTGTTTAACATGACTTTTCCTGCATTCGTCTTTGAAAAAATTACCACTGCATCAATCACAGAAGAAGAAATAAGAAGCCATTCGGGGTACAACATGGGAAAGATATTTACTAAAGTTGGCAGTTATCAAATCAGATGAAAAACTATGCAAGTTTCAGTCGGTACAAAATGCATCAAACCATTAAAACAACATTTAAATCAAACAATAACGGTAACCACTCACCATAACCTTCTTTGTTCTTTTTAATCATACTCAACATATACTTGTCAGCGGGCAAGTTTTCATCGCTGAAATAATATTCCACCTGCAAATCCACAAAGAATTGAAAAACAAACCTCGCATGGGAACTTAAAATTAGTAATAGCAACATTTACAATGTCAATTGAGAATACTTCGTTTTCTTTCTCCCTCTACGTTTACTCAAACACTTTCTTAACCCCGCTGTTTGGTTAAAGCTCAATGCGAGTTAAAATTTGGACTTCAGGGCAGCTAAAATTCAGTTTAGCGGTTAACAAAGTGGGCACAGAAATTAGTACATTATGGTCTATACTAATGTGGCTTCAAAATGTGGTTCCAGATACGCATTCGATTCAAATTCACTTATCCCATGCGTATGCATTGCGGAAATCATCGTATCTATGAACAATTTTTGCATTTATTTTACCAATTTTTTACTTGTTCCTTCAATTTAGACCAAAGCAAGAAGGAATCAAGAACATAATTCCAACAATCGTAGAGCTACTGAAAGAATGATAAATGTGGCTCTAGGGTTCATATACAACACATATTGCTAGGTCTATACAATATCAAATTATCAGCTCCAAATCAAATTCATTCTATATATATATATATAGAGAGAGAGAGAGAGAGAGAGAGAGAGAGGGATCCTTGCCTGCTTAATAATCTTCTGTTTGAGATCCTCAGAGAGACCGCCAGTCCCAGACGATTGATCAGGGTCATCATCCGACGGCTGTGGTTGAATCTCAGAGGAGGCGCGACCGGGAGATCCAACGGGTGAGATATCAGAACCGTGCGGCGGAGATGGTGGGGGGGCGTCGA